GCCTTGTTGTCTGAACTGGACACAGCCTGGCCACTTCTCCCACCAACAGTCCCCTGCCTCTTCCTCATTCGGACAGAGGACACAAATCCTGGACTCAGTCTGACCCTTTGCCAAGGAGACTTGTGCCCAGCCTGTCTTGTCATCCCACGACACAGCCCAGGTTTGTGCCTTCGGTTCCTACATGTAGCTGTAGCTGGGGCTTTCACAGATGTATTACTCTTAAACTTCTGGAAGTCAGACGCTCCAAAATGGTTTCACTAGACCAGAAGAAAAGTACGGCAAGACTGCATACCTTCAGGCGGCTCGAGGGGAGAATCCACTTCCTTCCCTTTGCCTAGTCTGGAGGCTGCCCACATTCCTGGCTCGTGGCCCGTTTCCTCACTGCACCACTCCAGCCCCTGCCTCCTTCCCTCTCCCTTTGATTCTCCGTCCTCTCTCTTAGAACGACCCTTGTGATTATATTGGGTGCATCCCAATAATCCCAGATAATCTTCCCATCTCAAGACCCTGAACTTAATCATATCTGCAAAGACCCTTTGCCATGGAAGGTACCATATTCACAGGTTTCAGAGATTAGGATGTGGACATTTGGGGGGGGGGCGTTATTCTGTTTACCATAATTGCCATGTCAGTTTTCATAACTTACAGATATCTTCACTTTAATCATGGGGACAAGCCCAGAGGGCTCCTTTTATAACTTCTCTTTACATTCTGTTCCTTTTCCCACTGTATGTTTGGTAATACCATTATCCACCAGCTCCCCTAGCTGAAAACCTAGGGATGCTCTTGCTCCCTGCTCCCATACTTCCCACATCCAGTCAGTCTCCAGAATCCACCTCAGAAAGGCCACCAACTCCAGGCATCCCTCCATCTCTGTTCTCCCTCCCGGGCTGAGACCCTCATCACTCCTGCCTGCACACTGGGCATGCCTGTTGCTCTCTCTGCCACCTGTCTGCCCCTCACCGTCACCCCATCCTCCACACCACCACCCAAACCATCTTTCTCAAGCACAGCTTTGGTCTCCTCACCCCCTGCTGAAAAGCGTCTGCTGGCATCCCACGGCCTGAACACCCCTTCTCAGCCTCACGTCGTGCCAACAACATCCCATGGCTGTTCTCTTACCCTCCTCCCACGCTCTATACTTCCCACCTGCTGTGCTATATGCTTTCACTCCATTAGCTACTCAGAACACCTCGAGAGTCACCCAGATACACCATCTTCTTGCCTCTGAGACTGTTCTTCCTGTCACGGTCCTGGGAATGCCCTTCGAATGCCCTTCACTTATCCTTTGCCTGCAAAATTTATTTTAGTCCTCACAAATCTGGAAAGGGGTAGGTGTTATGAACTCTTTGTTACAGATGGCCAAACAGGCAGGGCATCAGTTAATGGGCCCCAAATCAAACATCTAGTAAATGGGAGGGCTCTAATTATATAGGAGGTTGTTGTCTCTCCATTTGCTGGAGTCCAGTGGGCTGCTATATTATTACACGAAGATGATCTGATTGTTTGGGCTCTCATTCTTCTCTCAAATTCCTTCAGATTTCCCTTCGTTCCTAAGGAAACAAAACTAAGATTTTGTAGTGTGGCTGCCATCCCCAGGATCCCCGCCAGCCTATTCTGCAGTCAGCAGCCAAGAGTTGAGTGGTCTTTGAAAAATGCAGATTTGACCCTGCAATTCCAATGTCCCTACCTGGCCCAAATTTCCTTAATGGCTGACTTCCCACTGCTCTTGTAATGCTCATAAATCTCCCCGAGGCATCTACATCACTAGCTGCCCAGCGTCATCTGACATCACACACCCCGACCCTTATTTCTCTACTCTGGCCTTATTGGCTTCCTTTCCAGGCCTTGGACCCCCTAAACTCCCCCTTGTCACATGGCTTTGCACATGCTGTTCCTTCTGCATGGATGTTCTCCTCCCTCTTCTTGGCAATACTGATGATCTGATTCAAAAGGCCAAGCTTTTCTCACAAACCATGTTGCCTCTTCTCTAAACATTCGGCATATAATCCAACAAAGAATCTATTAACACATATCAGCCATATCTTATTGGGCAATGCCATTAAAAAGTGAAGGAAATTGGTTCTTATTATCTAAGGACTCCAAGATTGGCCCCTGGCATTTTGTGACAGTGACATGATTAAATAGTCCACTCTTAACACCATCATTCCATTTTGGATGTTCCTTATACTGTATCTCATGTACCACCTTGCCAGATACAGAGCACTTAGTAAACTTTTCAAATATACTTATTTTTGGTTAATTAATTGATTGGTAAATATCGATTATTCATTACATGTCTTTAAAAAAAAAAGTCTGGCATGTTTTCTTAAACAACTAAACATGCAGCTACCATAAAATCCAGCAACTGCACTCCTGGGCATTTACCCCAGAGGAGTAAGGACTTGCACTAACCAAAAAACCTGTACACAAATGTTGATAGAAGTTTTATTCATAATAGCTAGAAACTACCGAGATGTCCTTCAATGCGTGAATGGTTAAACACACTTTGATGTTCCTCCACTGGTGAACGGATAAAGAAGATGTGGTACACACACACACACACACACACACACACACACACACACACTGGAATCCTACTTGGCCATCAAAAAGAATGAAATCTTACCATGTGCAACAACATGGATAGAGCTAGAGTGTATTATGCTAAGTGAAACAAGTCAGGCAGAGAAAGACAATTCTCATGATTTCACTCATAATGTGGAATTTAAGAAACACAACAGGTGAACATAGGGGTAGGGAAGGGAAAAAAAGATAAAAACAGAGAGGGAGGCAAACCATAAGAGACTCTTAAATACAGAGAGCAAACTGGGGGTTGTAGGAGGGGAGATGAGTAGGGGGATGGGCTAAGTGGGTGATGGGCATTAAGGAGGGCACTTGTTGGGATGAGCACAGCGTGTTATATGTAAGTGATGAATCACTGGGTTCTACTCCCGAAACCAAGATTACACTGTATGTTAACTAATTTGAATTTTTAAAAAAATAAATTTTAAATAAATAAATGCATACATCCATAACATATGTTTGTACATCCATACTATGGAATACTACCCTCAGTGAAAAGGAATGAATGTACAGGAATACACACAGCAACATGGATCTCTGGAGAACCCTGCTGAGAGAGAAAAACCTATCTGAAAGGTTATAAAATGTATGATTCCATTTATATAATATTCTTGAAATGGCAAGACGATAGAAATGGAGAACAGATTAGTGAGTGCCTGGGGCTAAGAGGGAGGAGGTGGGAGGAAATAGGTGTGGCTATAAAAGGACACCTTGAAATATCTCTGTGGTGTCTGAAATGCTCTATCCTGGGGCGCCTGGGTGGCTCGGTTGGTTAAGCGTCCGACTTCGGCTCAGGTCACGATCTCACGGTCCGTGAGTTCGAGCCCCGCGTCGGGCTCTGTGCTGACAGCTCAGAGCCTGGAGCCTGTTTCACATTCTGTGTCTCCCTCTCTCTCTGCCCGTCCCCTGTTCATGCTCTGTCTCTCTCTGTCTCAAAAATAAATAAACGTTAAAAAAAAAAAAAAAATGAAATGCTCTATCCTGACTGCCTCAATGCCAGCATCTTGGTTGTGATACTGTGCTATCTATCGCTCTTCCAGATGTCACCACTGGGGGAAACTGGGTAAAGGGACACAGGATCTGTCTGCCTTATTTCCTGCAAATGCAAGTGACTGAACAATTATCTTAATTAAAATTTTAAAAGAATCTGTTTAATAAAGTATGTATCCTACCAAGATGTTCACAAGCCCAGAATACCACAGTGCCATAAAATTTCTTCTCTTTATTTTTTTTTAAGTTTTCTTCACATTTATTCATCTTTGAGAGACAGAAAGAGACAGAGTGTGAGTGGGGGAGGGGCAGAGAGAGAGGGAGACACAGAAGCTGAAGCACGCTCCAGGCTCTGAGCTGTCAGCACAGAGCCCCACGCAGGACTCGAACTCATGAATCGCGAGATCATGACCTAAGCCAAAGTCAGATGCTTAACTGACTGAGCCACCCAGGTGCCCCTCTTCTCTCTTTCTTGATGGTTGTTTGTTATTTATTATTACTAAGGATTGTTCTTCCCTTTTATTTAAGACATATACAACACTGATCACGTTCAGGTTGTTTTCAACATGGAGGTTTATTATTTTATTTATTTTAATTTTTTAAGTTTATTTCTTTATTTTGAGAGAGAGAGCATGAGCTGGGGAGGGGCAGAGAGAGGGGGATAGAGGATCCAAAGCAAGCTCTGCACTGACAACAGTGAGCGTAATGCAGGGCTTGAACCCACGAACCCTAAGATTATGACCTGAGCCAAAGTCAGACACTTACCTGACTGAGCCAGCCAAGCACCCTGGAGGTTTATTATTTTAACGTCTTTATTCTTTACACTCCCTGTTGCCTTTCATACATTACTCTGTGTTTTGTTTTCTTGTCCTGACCAAGATACTTTTATAAACTGTGGGTTTTCACTTTATTCTCTGCAGTACTGTAACAACAAAGTATAATAATGTCTTTATTATCTTCACAAGTGAGGGAAAAGTTTTTAAAAGTAGCACCTCTGCCACCTGCCACATTAGATGTCCTTGTCTAGTCTTCAAGGTTCCATGAGCTCAGTGTTAGTATTATACTTGAACAGGTTGTCATTGTTTGAAAACCTTGGACTGGCTGTTGTTCAAATTTTTATTCGGTCCTTTTCATCTCTTCACTTCTCCGCCAAAGTTTAATACATTCTTCTGGTATCACCCTTACCGGATTTCCACTCTGTTTTCTATTACCTTTGCCTCATGTGGTTTATGTAGGATTTGGCTTTTTTTTTTCTTTCATTCCAATTATGGGAGTGATTGTAAAAGTCCGTATTGTAAGACAAATGTTTGCTCAGAGAGCCCATGACTGCTTTGGAATTTTGAGTGAGAATAGAGCAGGATCAGTACTGCATTTAATTCCTTTTCACACTTTAATGTGACATTTATTTTTGCTTTCTCTTTCAGTGACTAGAGAACAAATCCGGGGACATATTACCAACCAGGTATTTCCTCACTTCTCATAAATTATAATGGAGAATTATGTTTTGGATGTTAATAATCAAGCATTTGTAAATATGGGGGGAAAAAGCTTTGCTAATTATTGGGTATGAGCAATACACATGCTCTTGGTTCTGAAAACAAACAAATTGGTCATACATGGATGACCATGTACTTTCTTTGTCCCCCATCTCATTCCTTCCCTCTGCACATCCACCAAAGGAAACAGTAGAGAAATGAGACTCTGCGAATTCTGATTCGTAAGCTTCCCTCTGAACATAACATGACCTCTGCGTTGATAATATCAAGGCTGCAAATAGATACTTTTATCTACTTTTCCCTTAGCTAAAGTGACTCTCCTGTGTGATTTTCCCAAGTTTTAATTTGCCCCGCTGAAAGTCACTCCCTCCCAAACAGTTAAGAACAGAACCCCTAGCAGTAGAAACATGCAAGTTGCTTTCCATTATGGTCTTTGATTTCTAAGCTCAATTAGCCAATGTCTTCCTGGGTGCGTCCCTGTTTTCTTATCCAATCTTGTTACTTTTCATTTACTAGTAAATGAAATCACTCCTCTAACTGTTTTAGGGAGTTGAATAAAGCCACCCCTGAAACCAAGGGAGGCCTTCCCAAGCCCTATCTTGCCCCACCCAACCTCCTCTTTAAATAGGCCAAGAGGGCTGTCAATCTCTGAGGGCTTCCTGTTCCACCAGACTCCAGGAAAGCAGACAGCAGTTTGCTCAGGCTCCACTCACAAACCCAAATCTCCATGTCTTTTGTTTTGTTTGGTTTTCGTAGTTCTCCTCTGGCATAAATTATGACTCACCCTTGCCAAGGAGAAGAGTGGTATGTCTACTTTTATACCAGTCAAGGGTACATTTTCCAAAGGCTTCTAGTGCCCTCCCAAATAAGTTCCAATTCTAGTCCCCATTGTCATTCCACCCAAATTAAGTTCTAGCTTTACCTAATCTGTGCCAGATGCCCAGTAGCTCATCAAGCTCTAAAAATAGTTAACTCATTCAGCTAATATACTATTGTGCAAGTTCAGCCGGCAAAATTTAATGCTGAGCAGGTACCATTTTGCTTTTCATGTAATTGGAAATGTTGATTCACAGTAACAGCCATCTTAATACTTGAAAATGCTGTCATTGTGCAATGGCAAGACCAGTTAGCTATTTCAAATAGTTTATTTGCTTTTCGAGCTTCATTTCTTTATCATTGTATTTTCAATTATTTGTATGTGCTCAAGTGGTTTGGTAAGGCTGACAGCAGTTAACTGGTAAGGTTTATTGCTACCATTTTTATTTATTTAAGTCACACAGGGAATACTTTTTCTTATAAAGAGACCTGTTTATTTTATTAAGTTAACAAGTTAGAGCAATTGATCAAGAAATATATTAAGGCCCCCTTTTATGGGCAGATTTACATTTCCTACATTTTCCTTCATTTTACATGTGGCTAAACTGATAGAATATGTAGACACCAAAATAGAACACCAAATATTTACTTGTAATCTGAAACACTGATTAGTTGCCAGATGAAATCACAATGATTTCCAGGCCCAATAAGAGTGAAATTCTTTGGACTGACCATAATAAGGAAGAGTCTTAAGTATATTCGTTATACAGTCATTCTTAAAACAGATAGTTGTATTGTTCAATCAGTGTCTGCCAGCTGGTATTTCTAATTTTACCATAGAATTTCTATTCTTTCTTCTCCCAAGTACAGAAAAGCTTTCCACTCTCAAGAACGCACTGGCAAAACAACTCAAAGAGACATCTCACACCTCTGATTTATCTAATTTTGGCAAAGAACCAAGAAATGAAGTCACACCCCTTCTTTAATCCCTCCGCTACTCCCAGAATCTGGCTTTTAAAAAACAAGTTTGAAAACTCATTTTGGATAATCAATACAGTGTTCTTCATCAGAAAAGAATGTGAAATGGAGCACTGTTGAGCATTAATCTTTGCCCCTAAATCCTTCCCACTAGGCACTATAGATTGTGTAATTAAATTGAAATTGAAAATCAAGTCCTTTTTTTTCCCCCCCATTAAGCAAGCTCTGAGTTGCACACCAATGTGAGAAATCAGGGCTGGAGTGGATGGAGAGCTCCAGCCTACTGGCCAATCGCCAGCGTGCGTTTTTAGCCCACAGCTATTTTACCACACCTGAGCTCTGAGAACAAACAACTATTTGAGTTCTCTGGAGGGAACGTTGGATTCTTTCCTGTGTAATTCACTGGGGAAATTAGTATGCTTTTTTAAAGTAACTTGTTAACGCAGCTTGTTTACGAGAAGAGGACAAAAATGAGCAGTGATCCGTTTGGCAGCTCCTGTCCCAGAATGGGATGAAAGCATGACCCATTTTTTCAGCTGTCTTTTTGGCAGTTCAGTGCTGCAACAATTTCCTCTCTGAAAAATGCTCCTTCTAGAGATGAAAATCTCCTGTAGGTTTTCTGAATAATTTTTACTATGGGAGATTAAAGATAATGCTTTAAAATGCTACCTCAAATACCTTCAAAAGCCAGTTCGGAATATGGCCGGTACCGAATGGGAATACTGTACGTGAAACCTTTTAACTGAACTTGGAAACTGCCTTCTTATATGGTAGGCAGTTGAAAACCGCAGTAAATTAATACCTTGTGTGTATGCCTTTTTGCATAGGAGATCATTGAAACCCATTGGGAATTAATACACAGCTAGGTGACAAAGAGGGGCTCCGTTTCTTGTGGAGAGGACGTGCATGTTGGAGAGAACATGCACGCTCGGGTGCTGGCTGGGACAAAGGCTCACCTTCGCTGAATGCCTGGTTCAGAGAGAGCCACCACCCATAGGTGTGCCGTCAAAGCTGTGCGTTAGCTCCTAGGCTGTTGGAACAAACTACCACAAACTGGGTGCTTTCAAACAACGGAAATGTATTGTCTCACAGTTCTGGAGGCTAGGAGTCCAAAAGCCAGTGATCAGCAGGGCCACATTCCACGAGAAACCTATAGGAGAGGATCCCTCATTGCCTCCTTCCGGCTGCTGGTGGCAGCCAGTGGTCCTTGGCGATGCTCGGCTAGTAGCTCCATCACTCTCTGCCCCTTTGTCATGTGGCTTCCTTCCTGCGTGTCTCTTCTTTTCTTCTAAGGACACCAGCTGTATGGGGTTGAGGCCCACCCTAATGACCTCATCTTAACTTGATCACATCTACAAATGCCCTCTTTTTAAATAAGGTCACACTGACAGGCACCAGGAGTCAGGACGTCCACGTACCTGTCTGGGGGGACACAGGTCAGCCACAAAAAGCTGGGGACCTCAGACTGATCCTCAACCCCATCTCTCCCTGTGACCACTGAGCACTTCTGATGTGATCTCCCATCGCCCCTCCATCCAGCTCCTCCAATGCCCAGCCCACAGCCCCTGCTTCGGCCAGACCCTCATGGAGGCGCTTGTTCGGCGAGGCTGTCTTGCTCCCGTCCACATTTTCCATTCGTCCTCCATTCTGCTCCTCTCTGCTTCCTAAAATCCCAACCATCCACATCCCTCCTCTGCTGCAAAACAAAAATCAAACAGAAAGACTTTCCCCACGTTTAGCGGTGATTACAACCCCTGCCTGTGCATTATACTCACCCTTGGAACTTTGTTAGCACAAACCCTGAGGCTGCACTCCTACGCCAGCCCAAGAAGCACGGGATCCCTGTTGGGTTCAGACACAGCACAACCCTTAGACCAGACCAAAAGGGGTCATGTGCTTTAGAAGACCCCAAACATCGCAAACACAGAAATACAGAGACTTTTCTTTCCTTCTCAGCGTCATATTTTAAAGTTTGACGATCAATGGAGCACACACAAAATATGGGAGCACAACAGGGGAGCACGACAGAGCGGCTGAATCAGGCCAGGTCATCAGATGCAGTGGGGTTGGGCTGGGGGATAAAAAGCACCCTGTGCCCTTTGAAACCAGAGAAGGAGGGGCTGCAGTAGCCTCAAAGTAGCCACCCCACATCCTCTCGGGGCGGGGGTGAGGAGGATGTGGAGGCAGACAGTGCTCCTGAGGTAAGTGTACTTCTGCCCTTCCCTCTGCTTAGGACACAGGTGGAGTCGGGGGTACGGTTTCGGGTGGTACTTAGAACTGCCTGGCAATCCCAAGGCCAGAGAAGTGAGGCGTGAGGTACGTGACCCATTCCCACAATCCCTTCCACACCCCACCAAGGAATCTGAAGAGCCTGAGTCATCTGCCTCCTTCATGGCAGAGGGTCCAGTCTCCCGCCTGAGTACCACTTCTGCCCTGACTTCCTCCTGAAGGTCCACGAGCCACTCAGGCCTCTGGTGGCAGGTTGGCTCTCAGGGAGAAGAGAGGGCTCCTATTACCGCCAGGCCCAGAACAGTCCCTCTGGAGAGGCTGCAGACCCTGAGTGGAAACAAGGGCCACGTATCGAGTCCTGCTTACCTTGAAACTTCTAAATATTTAGACACACAGTATGTGGGCCTCCATGCCTACACTTGCTCTGGGCAACACAAATGTTGGGAATGATTCTGCTCAGATATCTGCGGCTTTACAACTCAGTATGTGATTCTCATAAAAAGCCAAGATTGAACCCTGTGGTCTACAGGATAAAACCCCAACCTTTGAGTATGAAATCCAAGACCCTGTGACCTCACAGTCCTTTGGACAGCACGCTCCCCACCTCCCTAGATTTATTTCCCATTCTGCTCCTTTATGCAAAAATGTTGTGTGCTATATAAAACTGTTCTACCAGCATACTAACCCCTCTTCCTGCACATGCAAAATTTACTCATATTCCAAGACATAACTCAAATGCCTTCCACCAAGCTTTCCTTCATCACGTAGTGAAGAATAATCTCTCCCTCGTCTATGGTCCCATATTATTTTCCAGCCCCTTTGCTACAGATCCTTGCGTTTTCTACTCTATTTGTCCCTATCATGTTTGGTTCATTTCAGTATCCAACTGCTAGACCTTGCACATCATAAGCACCCAACCAATTGTTGGTCAATTTAAACCTTC